AACCAAAACATTTTGAATAAAACAAGAAACAAAGAGTTTGCAATGTAACCATCTAACTTACTTTCAAATCCTCTTTCTTCAAAGTGAAATTCTACATTTGGAAATGTTGCATGAAATCTGTCAACCACGATGAGAAGGTCGAGGTTGCTTCCCCTATCGCGATGTATTCCAAGCATCATGAGGCTATCCGAACGAGCATTTGTCATAACAGAACGCAAATTATTTTTAATTAGTCTCATTGGTCTATTATTATTAGGGGCCTATTATTGTTGTTATTATTATTATTTTTATTATTATTATTATTATTATTATTATTATTATTATTATTATTATTATTATTATTATTATTATTATTATTGGCGCCACCACTGGATTCAATAATCTGCTGTATCCCTTGCTGTGCCATTTTCGATAGGTGATTAGGCCCTAATTGTAACTTTAGAGCACTGATGAATATTTATTACTTCGTAATTTGCATAACGAATTATTTATAAACCACGGCTTCCTACGATGTCATTATTTATATATAATGGCACTCGACTTCAATTATCGTTTTTATTTTATACGGTAGTTTATACGACGAAACCTTTCAATTATGGTCCATTCACTAGATAACAAAATTGTTATATGAAGATTATTTGTATGGGAATTTGTGGAACAGAATGTGCTCGGTAAAACAGCAGACCTATATTAGGCCTACATGCCGTCCGCCCTTATACAAACAGACAGTGGTAGTGCCAGCGGGGGAGGGGTTCCCCGGTCGGACAGTCCTGTGCCCCCTGTCGTCCAACGAACGACTAGGTCGTCGAAACAAAATTTTTTTAAATAATAATTTGCCTATCCAAATAACGCTAATTTGATTGAAAAACCCTATTGTGGTCTAAAAGCACATTTAGGACCAATAAGCCATAAAAACTGTCCCTAAGAACTCTAACAGGGATTTTCTTCTTTTTTTTTTTTAAATTCTGGGAACACGACTACTAAGGCTTCGTCGTCAACTTGAACCCCATCGGGACCCCTCCGTCGGACTCGTTGGACTCTTGTCGGAAAATTTCTGGCCCCCAACACTGGAAACAGATGCTACTATAAAGGTGAGGGCATGGTAAAGGCTGGTTACGATTTGGTGGCACATCGATTGAGTATTTTCATTCATCTGGCCATCAGTGGCGTATCTAGATGTCTTGAAATTGGGCCGGGGGCGAAATTTTGTTTTCCTGGACGTTTGAGGCAGTGGAGATTGGTGGCGCTATAGATTCAAAATATCTAGAGTTCCTATAAATATCACCTTCCTGATTCGGCAGTAAATTATGAATATTTATTGTACTTTTCTTATTGTCAGAGCGGTTTCTATACAGAAAGTGCTGATGACATGTGATGCGATAGCCGACATGGCGAGGATGAAGAGTGTTGTACACGGTCGGCACTAGATTCCATCCCTCAAAATGACATGACGTCACATGTCGTGTATCTTCGGTTGTTTTCACAAAAGTTGTTTCTCCGATCATCTCCGACCAGACTGGCTCTTCAATGGAATGGATCATGGATTCACAAGCATGGCAGGTGATACTGATAGTAGTGCACATGGCCGAACAAATAAGGCTCAAAAATCAAGTATTTGGGCTATGTCGAATCAGTGGAAGCAGCATTGGATTTAATAACGATTAATTAGAGACCACAACCAAATGTTCGTGTGTCAAGTCAGTTATAAAGACTTCGGCTTTGGAGGTAGGCCCTCCCCTCCCCTTCCTATCCAAGGCTAGCCTAGGCTAGGCCTAGCCCTAGAGGCCTTCTGTTCCTGTATGGATTGAAGCGATGTACATTAGTTGACTGAGAACATTGCTTTTATGCAGATGTATAAGACATAACGAATATTTTATTAGTTCAACCTTTTATTTATGAAGTATGGCAAGCAATGCGCTGTAGTAGATTGCGTGAAAGTTGTTTTAATGCAATATTATAATCTTGGTGCTACTGTATATCAAGAAACATCAACAAATATTTTATTATTTCATCCTTTTTTTCATAAGGTATGGGCAAGCAATGTTTTTATGCAATAATATTTTTTATAAAAAGAAACCTTGGTGTTACTGTATATCCAAAAACATAAATATTTTATTTGTGAGTTCAACCTTTTTAATGCATAATACAGTATAACTATGAAAGCTGTTACTGTATATCAATACCTTTAACAAATACCTCATTACACAGTTCCACTTTTTATAATGTATAATATACAATGTACTGCAGTGCAATTAGTAGTGTTAACATTTTTTGTTTTTCTTTGTGTATATTTATGGAAATCTTGGTTTTACTGTACATTAAAAAACATTAAAAAAAATATTTCATTAGTTCAAACATTAATCATATGGTTTATTTATGCAATGCACTGTATTAGAGTATTGTATGTGAAAGTTGATTTTATGCAATGTCATAACCTTTGTGCTACTTTATATCAAAAACATAACAAAATGTGTGCTTCATCAGTACACTTGCAGTAGTAGTAGCAGATTGAATGTTGTTTTCTAGCAATAATACCAGACTTTTTTGTGACAACCTTAGTTGTACAATATATATATGCTCCCCATACAGGGAATTTATTCATCAAACTCCAGGCCTCCGGCCCCTTGTAAAACAAAATTATTACAAATTAAATAAGCGTGCTGTGACAATACCGTACTTTAAATAAATTTCATTAATACACCCGTGTTTCTTTGTTTTCCTTTCTCTTAAATGCATGATAAATAAATAAACATACTTTTCTAATTATATTACTGTTTTTTGATGACATAATTTGATAAAATTTGATAAAATATATTAAGATACCATAACAAATATTTTATCACAGAGTTTAAAAATTATATTCATAATTCATAATATAGAGATACATACAATATACAGTATTGTAGTATGCATTAAATTATAATCTTGCAATATCATACCCGGTTCATGAAAACCTTTGTGCTATAGGAGATACCATAACAAATCAGTCAGTCTAAATACTTTGTTCAGTAATAAAAGACTTGATGAAATAAAAATCATTTTGGTCATTTCAGTTATGTCTTGTTCTGTGTTACCTCCAGGTACTTCAGTTTTAATAATTTTAATGTAATTTTGGTGGATAGACCAGTGTCCACCTTCCAAATAAGAAACCCTACTTCCACCGTCCCCAGATGTTGCCAGTTTAAGACTTGTATACAGACTTAAAACATAAAAGTATATACAGGCTTTACATTCTCAAAATATATGCAATTTAGTAAATATTACTGTACAATATATAAAGCATAAACAATTGAACAATTAAAATGTATTCAAAAGCACACAAACTCAACATACTAGAGGCCAGCAGGTTTACTGTATTTAGAATTTTAAGATGACTATAAATGCAATTGCATAAATGATTTATACATAAGGAAGATTAATACATTTAATATACTGTATTAAAAACTTTCTGTTGATATTGTGTGCAGTGTTTAGGATTTAAATCAATCATGATAATGTTAAATGGAAATATTATTTATTTAAACAATTCTTATAAGGAAGCTTAATACTGTATATTTAATATATAATAATTAAAAACAATGTTTTTATTAATATTTACAAATGATTTACAGTAGGCCTATTTAAATTCTTTATAAAAACCATATTTATTATAATAAATTACATTATCAAAAGTTGCTGTATAAAACACAAACACAAAACAATTGAATACAAAATATAGGCCTAGGTGTACATACAGGTAACAAACCACATATAACAGTTATCCACTATAACATTCAACAGATTAAAAATATTAACTGCATAAGCCTAGGCCTAGATCAAAATGACAAACACTACACGTATCGTCTTTCTTAACCTGTCAAAGTGCCGTCGCTTCGGAAACCGCTCGGGTGCTGCCTCCGAAGATAGGCGAATGTATAGTGTGACGTCATGTCGTTTTGAGGGATGGAATCTAGTGCCGACCGTTTGACACCACAGATTTAGCTCTCCTTTTATTATAATTCTAAACAAATAGGCCTTTGAAATGAATAAGGATTAGGCTATAATTACAAAATAATACTGTATACAGTTAGGTCTAGGTCCAGGCTGTATTTTTTAGGAATGTATCTCAGTCACGCAAAATATAAATACTTATAAGTTCAAGTAGGCCTTACGAAATGTATTAAATTTAGGCCTATTTGACGTATGTAGTAAATTACAGTATGAATAAGCACTGTAATATAAATCTAATAATTATGACAATGACAATAATTAAATAATACCAATGGTGACGATAATGATGATGATGATGATGGCGACCTATATTATCAGTATCAACATTGCTAATATAAGGTAATGGGACTTGTTTTCTAAGGCATCAACATCAGGAAGGTGATATTTTGAATCTATAGCGCCACCAATCTCCATTGCCTCAAACGTCCAGGAAAAAAAAATCGCGTCTGGCAGCATGCCTTGCGAAATTGTTGTTTTCTAGACGCCCGAAAATGACATCTGAGGCGTTTTAGCGATCAATTATTTTTTCTTTGCCTTTCTTCTTTTTTTTCTCTCTTTTTTTTTTTACTTTTCAAAAGGAGGGCTGGCAGGGCCCCCTCTAAATTCGCCCTGCCCTTTGCAATTAGTTACTGTATTCGATACATTTTGTTCGTCGACCATTGCTGCCTAAACGGCGTTCCATAACAGGTGGTGATGCGTGAAAGAAGTACTGGAAGAAGAGGCTACAGTTCATAACGGATGTGGGCAGAACCATAGAGACGACGAACACATAGTCAGTCACAGGTAAGGACGTTCGCTGTATTGATTTAGGCGTACACTAGTTAATAATTACTTTTTATAACAGTCCTAGTTTAGTTAGGCCATTGTGGTGGTGATGGAGCTAGCGCATGACTTGAATGGAGTCAAAACACCTTTGGTACTTGTGCATATAAGCTTGCAAATATAAATAATTTTTTCATTCCTGATGATGACATAATTAATGTCGAAATATTGAATCCCGACACGATGGCGTGCATTTCGATACCTGGAGTATGTATTATACTATCTTATAAGAATATATCATTGAATATTTACATATTATTCACACACACACAAACACCACACACACGCACACCCAAACACTATTCTCTTATACACATCT